CTATGCTATTTGCTGTCCCCGCTGAACCCAATGGGGCAGCAGCCGACAATAGGAGCACAGAGTTACTACTTTTCCTACTGGAACCTCCCAACATCTACCCAGAGATAGCTCCAGTATAGGTTGGCCAAGCAGGAAATTCCAAACCCTTTTCCTGAAACTTCAAATAGCTTGAGGAGTCTCTTCAGATGTAGCTGGAAAAGCTCCCAGCGAGCAGAGCTGGGTCTTATGTAACTTTATAGACTGCCCTTTTTAGGAAAAAAACAAACTGTTCCTCAGCTAGTGCTGGACTTTTGAAACATATCCTGCATTCTTTCCTAGCTACTCAGCAGTCCCCATTGGAAGCAGCTAATAAGACAGAGTTGAAGACTGTGAGGTTAAAGGGGGAGAAAGGGAGGGCAGGATGTCTGTCATTGTGTCTGGAACCTGCTGTTCTGGGTCCCCGGCTGTGGCTCCCACAAGCAGTAGAGGGAGCACATTGCCAGGTGTGAAGGAAACTCTAAGAGAGGAGCTGTTGCAAGGATACTCCCCCTGCATATTCCAGAAGCTCATCACTGGATTCCCTAGATCCGTTTCAGCACCCCACACCCTAAAAAGGGCTAGAACTAAGTATGTGTAAATATGTCCGTATCTGTAATGAGCCAAATTCTGCTCTGAAGAAATGTTTCCAGTTTGATGACGATTTCGGTTCCTCCTTAGTTCAACTCAGTGAACATTTTAATCATATACCCTGTGCCAGACTTGAGGCTAGGTTAAGTGACTACAAAGATGAAGATAGCTTCTGTCCTTAGCATGCAACCAAGAAGGAAATAGGAAATGCATATAAATGGTTATAATATACTTCCTTGCTTTATAATCCGTAGTACTTTTTGTAATTCTTGTATTTTTAACTCTTCTGAAAGATATATATCAGGTTTATGTTATCTACCTGTGAACTAATGTGCTAATTCAAGATAAAAATACAGGACAATCTCAGCCGGGCGCGGTGGCTCACACCTGTAATCCTAGCACTTTGGGAGGCCAAGGCGGGCGGATCACGAGGTCAGGAGATCGAGACCATCCTGGCTAATATGGTGAAACCCTGTCTACTAAAAATACAAAAAATTAGCTGGGCGTGGTAGCAGGCGCCTGTAGTCCCAGCTACGTGGGAGGCTGAGGCAGGAGAATGGCGTGAACCCAGGAGGCGGAGGTTGCAGTGAGCCGAGATCACGCTGCTGCACTCCAGCCTGGACGACAGAACAAGACTTCCATTTCAAAAAAAGAAAAAAAATAGGAAAATCTCTTCAGGTATAACTCTTCTTTTACAAGTTTCTCACGAAGGGGGCAAGCACAAGTTTCAAGAATATTTTCATCTAATTTTTGGTTTTTATTTTCATAATTTTCTGAAGCTAATATAAGGCATTTTAGAACTTTGAATATAATTTGAATCTTTTAAAACAACATTTAGCTTTCTCAATGAATTACAATTTGCCCTATGCATGCCTGTAGCTTTTATTTCTTCTCTGAATTAAGGTATTAGGCATTTAGTGGGCACTCATTAGATACTTGTTCTCCCAGTACAGGTAGCTGTCCTCTTTAAGGCTGTAAGTGGGTAGTCCCTCTTGGTCTCCTGTGCTGATGTTTCATGAGGTCCAGGCTTTCAGGCCTGTGAGGATCCCAGATGGCCCAAAAGAGTCCATCATCCCACTTATTGCCAGAAAATACAGATAAGCAAAAAGAAGATGTGTATGCATTTTTTAAAATAAAAATGGGATCATACCATGAGTTATACTTTGTTTTGTTTTGTTTTTTCCTTCCTCCTCCCCTGCCTCTTTTATACATCAGGCAAAAGAGCACAGCTACTGTGGTACCAAACACACCTGGGTATGAAGCTCAGCTCTGCCACTCCCCAGTTATAAAAACATGGACAATTTTGGTAAAATCTCTGGGCCCCTGGGAAATAATAACATTAAGTTTGACCTTATGAAATGGGCATTTTTGCAGGTTAAAAAAATGCATATTGACCATTTCACATCACCCTAACAGTTCCCGCCTTGTATAGTTTTGTCAGCGTTAAATGACATGATACACATGCAGTTATCACAATGTCTGTCAGTGAGGTACTCACTAATGACTATGAATGTTAATTGCTACTGCTACTACTAGGATGATAATGATGATGACTGCCAAGAAGCAGAAGCACAAATCAAAGGGAACTGATTGAGCAGCCATTCTTAGGTTTCCAACCATGGATTTTGGACTTGAGAATTATACTTTGTTTTTTTGTTGTTGTTGTTTGAGACAGAGTCTCGCTCTGTCACCCAGGCTGGAGTACAGTGACACGATCTCATCTCACTGCAACCTCTGCCTCCCAGGTTCAAGTGATTCTCATGCCTCAGCCTCCCGAGCAGCTGGGATTACAGACAAGTGCCACCATGCCGAGCTAATTTTTGTATTTTTAGTAGAGATGGGGTTTCACCATGTTGACCAGACTGGTCTCGAACTCCTGACCTCAAGTGATCCACCTGCCTCAGCCTCCCCAATCCTCCTAGGATTGCAGGGGTGAGCCACTGCACCCAACCTGAGAGTTGTACTTTGTAAATTGCTTATTTAAAAGAAAAAGGAAAAAAAAAAACTATATCATGAGCATAGTTTCATCTTGACAACAAATCTGACACATCTTTTTGTGTTCTGTAGAATACTTCATTGCATGGATTACATCGTAATTTATTTAACCAATTTTTTACTGAGGGGATTTTTAAAATATTTTTAAATTTTGGCCCGGTGCAGTGGCTCATGCCTGTAATCCCAGCAATTTGAGAGGCCAAGGTGGGAGGATTGCTTGAGCCCAGGAGTTTGAGACTAGTCTGGGCAACATAGCAAGACCCTGTCTCTATAAAAAATTGTTTTAAATAATTTTTTTTTGCTTTTGTAAATAGTGCTTCAACAAACATTCATACATATATATAACTTTATGTGTCTTTATAATGTTACTTCTTTTAAATATATTTGATAGAAGTAGACCAGAGAGTATGCTTATTTCAAATTTTGCTACATACTGCTTGGCTGCCCTCTTGAAAATTTCATTAATTCATTTGAAAATATTAATCTATGTATCCCAGACACTGCTAGGTTCTAAGTGTACACCAACAAAGAATGGTAGACAGGGTTCCTGCCCCATGAAACTTGCTGCCTAGTGTTAGAAGCCAAATGAACAAGTATAAAACACAATATAGAGAAGTGCAAGGTGCTTTGAGAAAATATAGCCAGTAGTCTGGGAAGGGCCATTGGATTCGGAATATTTTAGCTAAAAACCTAAAGGATGATTAGGAGTTAGACAAATGGAGGGGCAGTGTTCCAATCAGTACCGAGCTGATCTGAGTTGACAGTATGACTACAGGGCAAAAGATGAGAGTGAAGAGGTGATTTATCAAAGCTAGAATATACCTTTAGGGAATCTGGATTTTATGGAAAGCCTTCGACGGGTTTTTCAGCATAAGAGTGATATAAGTACACTTCATTTGATGTCTATTAAGATGATTCTAGGAAGGAAAACCAGGTTAGAGGTTGATGTAAGAACTTAGATAAGTGATAAATATAGGCTGGTCTTTAGTAGCAGTAGGGATGGAGAATGTGGTAGGATGTATAAAGTAGCAATAGATATGAGTAACAGAAACCCACCATTGGTGACTTAAATAAGATGGAGGGTTTTTTTCCTCTCATCAACAACTGAAGTACAGAGGTAGACAGTCCTGGGCTAGTATGGCAGCTCCACAGTCATTAGAGACCCACACCCTTTCCAGTTTTTTGCTCAGCTATCTCTAGGCCATCCTTATGGCACAAGATGACCTACTATAGCTCTAGTCATCACACCTACCTTCCTAGCAGCAGGATGGAGGAAAGGAGGAAGAAGGATGCACCCTGTTCATCATAAAGAGACTACCCAGAAGTTGCACACAGCAATTCCACCATAACTTGGTCAAATGGTCACCCTTACTTGCAAGGGAGGGAGAAATGTGGAATTTTACTTGGACAGCATTGTACCCAGCCAAATATCAGGGTTCTGTTAATTTGAAAGATAAAGGGAGAACAGATATTTGATTGGCAACTAATAATCTGGGACCTGGGAAGGTGGGGAACTAATTTAATTCAGCTAAATTATTTACAAAATAACAGTTCACACAAAGATACACAATACCACTGTTGAAAAGAGACTTATTTGGCTATGAAGCAAAGATTTAACATTAAAAATAATCCTGTTTTCTTGTAAAGAATAACCAAGTGTTAGCTCATGTACATCTCCAGCTTTGATAGGAATATAGCTGTATTCATTTGACCTGAATCACTACCATGTAAAAGTGTCATACTTGTGATTTTTACTACTTTGTCATTCATTAATATTCAGAGTATAGAAAAAGGCAGACCAATAGATTGCTGCTATTTTTTTTTTTCAAGCCCACAGCTAACATCATCGATTGCTGCTGTTTGGAACAAAGTCAAACAAGACCCAAATTAAGGGATTTGCTTATTGTTTTTCTCTATCAAGGATATTAGCAGTATATTATAGTAGAAAGAGCAAGGGCTTTGGATTGAGTCAGACAAAAATTGCAAGCCCAACTCCTCTACTTTCTGGCTCTGTGATCTTAGATAAAGTTTCTCTGCAAGATCCTCAGTTTCCTCAACTGTAAAATAGAGATGATAATATCTACTTTGCACGGTTATCATGAGGATTAGAAATGCACTTATGGGCTGGACATAGTGATTCACACCTATAATTCCAGCACTTTGGGAGGCTGAGGTGGAAGGATCACTTGAGGCCAGGAGTTTGAGAACAGCCTGGCCAACATGGGGAAACTCCATCTCTACTAAAACTTCAAAAATTAGCTGGGTGTGGTGGCTCACACCTCTAATCTCAGCTACTTGGGTAGCTGAGGCACGAGTATCACTTGAACATGGGAGGCAGAGGTTGTGGTGAGCCGAGATCACACCACCACATTCTAGCCTGAGCGACAGAGCGAGATTCTTGTCTCAAAAAAAAAAAAAAAAAAGGAAATGCTCTTATGACAAACATCTAGCATGGTGAGTAACATAGTAGATAATAAATAATCGCTAATAATATTAGAAGAATTACAATTTAGCAATAACTCGTTTCTTCTAGCTTCTGTTGTGCAGGGAGGTATAACTACAAAGATTCCTAACCATTTCTACATCATTCTTAGGATGCTTCTATAGCAGTTTGCCACCTGTTTATAGAACCTGTAACTATTTGTGATGGTGCCTAGATTAAAGTCAGCCCTAAATCTTTGCTCAAAATGAACTCACCCCTACTCTCATGCCTCTCATCCATATTTACTATGTCCAAATCCATCTGTCTGTTGATAGTTTCCTTGCTATCCACAGCCATACCACATATAGAATGGGGAGTGAGTTCAGGCCTGAGCCAATTCAAGTGTGGATTTGGAACCTGGGAGAAGGGAAAAAAAAAAAAGGCCTCATAGAGGCATGGGATAGTATTAAGCAGAAACAGAAAGATAAAGATGGTTTATGGTTCATTCTACACTCCAGAATGATAATGCAATAAGCTAAATCCTATAGATGCTTTTGAAGTGTTTTATGTGAGGGAAATTAGCCAGTCTGTCAGCTCCAATACAAATAACCTCAGGATTCTTCCTTCACATTCCTCAGTGGTTCCTCAGAGGGGAGTTGCCTCTGAGAACTGTGTCAGCCCCGTGGAAAGAGGATCTCTAGGCAGGCCCACCAGGGTCAGAATTTTAAGATATAGACCTTGAATAGAGAGGCCTTTAAGGTCTAGAGTAGGAGTCAATCAGCAAATTATGGTCTCTGCCAGGGTGTTTTTGTATGGTCCACAAGCTGAGAATGGCTTTTACATTTTTAAAGAGTTGTTGTTTGTTTGTTTTTTTAAAAGGGAATTGCTAAGAAAGTAAATTTCAAGTATTCTCACCAAAAGAAGATAAGTATTTGAGGCAATGGATATGTTAATTAGCTTAATTTAATTTAATTTAATTATTCCACATGATATTCATAAATCATAGTATCACTTTGTGCTCCATAGATATATACAATTATAAATTGTAAATTTACAAGAAAAAAAGTTTTACAAAGATGTGGCAGTACTATACGGCCCACAAAGCCGAAATCTTTACAGAAAGATTTTGCTGATCCCTGATTTTGATGCCCCTTCTCTGAAAGGAAATGGGTCTCACCAGAGGCTGCAGGAGGTTTGAACATCTGTTTTAAATCCCAGGGTAGAGACTTACAGAAAAAGAGGTGTCACCATCAACAAAGAATAGATTTCTAGTTCTCCTCTTCAGGAGTTCCGGAGACCTGGCAAACTAACCCAATACTGAGGGATTGCTGGGCTAGAAAGAGTGAAGTCTTGTGTTGGGTTTAGAATACAGTATCGCCTTTGTTCTAACTGAGCAGTAGAATACATCCCTCATTAATGTTGCTCTCTCAGGCCTTTTAGGCTACATTCCAGTGAGTCCTGCTGCTGAATGCCACATCAGTGGGATACAGGCCCCAGATCAGTGTCCTGGGCCCACAAACAGGGGAGAATTAGCTTTGTGGCTCTTAGATAGACAAGGGAGTAAGTGAAATTGTTTCTTTTGCTTGCATATTTCTAAATTCCTTATTATAAGTTAGTGGAAATTAATACCTTACATCTAGGTAAGCATATTCCTATTTCATCTGTTCCTCAAACCATAGGTGGGGATTATAGGCCTGAAAGAAGGGCACTGCATCTCTGGGCACAGACCAGGCCCACTTCCTAATGCGGCCACTGTGACCCTAGAAGAGGGAGGACACAGGAGAAGGCCAGGGCGCTCTACCTGCATGCATGGATGACCATTATATTTCTGAAATACTTTAGTCCAAAGACTACAGCATTTACATTTCCCTTATTCTTTTTATTTTTCAAATATTTTTTCCTACCACACACCAGAAGATGGATACAGTTAGTCCTTTTACTAGATGGCAAATACAGAGCTTTGAGAGAACAGGTACCCTGCCCCAGATGACCTAGCAAGTTGGAGGAAAACCCAAGAATGAAAGCAGTGTTCCTGTCTTTGGGCATCCTACCACTATCCTAGGCATGAGTAGTTTCCAGATGGAGCTAAGATCAAACTCCTTTATCACTAGTGATCAAATCTGGTTGTTTCTAAGGCTGCACTGTTGTTCTGATGACCGAGTGGATCATCCTTGAATGACAGGGAAAAAATGTATTAAATGAGTCCCTCACCAGCCTACCTTTTTGCCAGCACCCTGGCTTCTTAAGGTATTAACATGTTGTGTCACTGACGATGACCTACGATTGCAGGAAGATGACGGAGTCACTGTTCCTGTGTGCTTGGCTGCTTGGCTGTTTTGTTTGCACTTTGGCATTCCTACCTGGTGAGTGGTACATTTTTGTCATTCCACAGCAGTCTGCTCTGCTCCTGACTCCAGAGTAAGCTAGTCTACATCTATTTACATCAGCTTTCCAGCTGTCAGCCTCCTCATGCTCCTGTCTGCCTGAGGGGGCAAGTAGACACTCTGGCAGGAGCTGCCTTTCAGGGAGGTTAGTGGGATGTCCACAGAGTTCCAGATACTGTAGTCAAAGTATAAAGTCCCTGCGACCCCAGTCTCTAGGTCTTGCAGGGATGAAGAAGCTTTCAGGAGATTATCTAGGCACAGCTCCTGGCCCAATGAGATTTCTATCCTAGTGTGTCATGTCTAGGAAAAAATCTCTGATGGCAGATCTTCAAGAAATTTGATGTACATGCTAAAAACCATACAAATTGGTTGAGGACTGGCCTAACCCAGCCTCTGTCTCAAATTCCTATAAAACCCTCCCAAATAGGCTTTCTCTTTTTCTTTACAACGTCAGCACTCAATGCTCTAGTTTGGGACTTATGACTGATAAGGCTGAGCTTCTGGGTAGCTGAGTGGCAGTCTTTCTTTGTTTTTATTCAGATTATTTCAATGCAGCCAATTTGTGTGTGTGTATGTGTGTACCCTGTCCAGAACAACAGGGCCTGCCTGTCTCAAGAGAGTACTATGAGCAACAGCTTTCAACTTGAGGTCCACCTGGTCCCAGAGGTTTGGTGCTAGACAGCTGGACATATGAAAGCTCTGTTTGTTCCCTTTCGTCTTCCCTGTCCTGTTTAATGCTGAACTGTTTTCAACAAGACTTGCTTCCTATAGAATCCAACTTAGCAACCTGGAGAAGCCTGAGGCCACTCCTGGAGCAGGAAGCTGCCCTAGATTTGGGCAGTAACCAGTAGAACTTGATACTGACGCCAGAGTGTAAAAATAAACACCTCCTACAGTTCTGTCTTAATCCATTGGCATCACAGTTGCTATTATTAACCCATAGGCCTCACAGGCAGCTGTGATGGTCAGACAACAGCCTGGACAAAACGTATCCTGCCAACTTGGGATCACACTCTCTCCCCTTCACCTACTGGGATATGATCTGGGGCCCCAGGAGAAGCACCATCAGTGTAGGAGCATGCCCTACAACAGGTAATACTAGAGGTGGATTAGTATCTTTGGTTTTGGAGAGCCCTGAGGCTCCCAGGGCCAGCCTACCAGCCTAGAGTATGATGGGCACAGACAGGATGACTGAGTCCGTCCTAGCATAGGGGAGGAAAAAAAGGAATGTGACCCTTCCATTTCCTTTGGCTCTTGTAGAGATTTTGCCTGCCACTTCCCTGACCTGAAGCCTTTCGATTTTCTGGGAAATTGGAACAGGAGAGAGGAAAGAGCTCCACTGGTCATCTGCCAAAGATATAGTAATAATAATGACTTATTACTAAGCATCTACCATGTGTTGGGTACTTTATGTACAATGTCTTATTTTTACTTCAAGCTTTTCAGGGAAAATATGACAGTCTTACAAATGAGGAAGGTGAAGTTTAGTGAGGTTGAGTGACCACCCAGAATTCCACAGCTGGCAAGTAATGTGTCAGAGTTGGACCCAGACTTGTCTTAACACCAAAATCCATGTTGTGAATCATTATAGAACCTAGGCTGCTGAATACTCAGGACCCAGGCCAGGCTTCGGCTACCTGCTTTTTAAATTTGGGGGCTTAAGTAAACAAAAATATATAAGTTACTCTCACTTTAGCCCTACAACTAAAGCAACAGTTACTGGTACACAAATGGTTTTTGCTGCCACCTGCGAGTGAGCCAGTCCCAGTGCGCTTACCGTGCACGGTGAGCTGGACTCCAGAGACTAGCAGGGCAAGCCTCCTGGAAGATGAGATGCCTCCAGGGAAAGGCTTTGACCCTGCCTGAGGAGTCTCAGACCATGACTTCTCTGTGGAGAACATGGCCAGATTGGAACCTGGTTCCCCAGGGGAACAAGGCTTTGATGGCTCTGGCAGTCACGCTGAGGGAGGGGGGTGTATTTGAATAAAAAGATTCCTTGAAGGACAACTAGGCTTCCCCCCTCTCTTTTTCCAACCTCCTCCACCCCGGCCCCACAACTGGCTTCTGTAATTCAATCTAGATTCTTCTCATAGCCTACTTTACTGTGCATATGTGGCCTTTTATTTACAGCTTTGGGCATTCTGATTGGATAGCAGCTTCCTAGCTGGCATGCTTCAGTCCATTGCCTGTGGGGTGGGGGAGCACAGTACACTCTGATTTTGCTTCCTTTTAGCCCAGGAGCTAAAAGGAATAGCCAGAGGGCTGCCCACATAGCCAAAGGACTGACCACACTGAGCAATCAAAGAGCAGCATAGGGGCCTTTTTTGTTCCAGCTAACTTGCTCCTGCAAATACACGCTTGAGAGCCATCCTCCAAGCAAAGCAGTCTGTGCTGAGGCTTTCAGCATCCACCCCTTGTACACTGTCTCTGGTCTTGGTGGCTCCCTTGCTGCTTACCTACACCTAGCATTGGGAGGCTTTAGCCTGTGGGCCTTACTCACTGCTGCATTCTCCATCACCTCATCTGAAGAACTCGGTCTATCAAGGTAGGAACCAAATCTTTCCTAATTCCCTGTAGTCTTCCTCTCTCCCCCTAATACATCCTCAAAAGAAATAGGGTTTACAACAAAATCCCAATCTCTAGAGACTTACAGCTAGCAGTTAGAAGCCAGGCACCTGGGAGTATGGGGGTGTTTATGTGTATTTGTATTCATGTTGGAATGCAGGAGGTTTTGTTTTTGTTTTTGTTTTTAACACACTGCATAGGAACCTTCCCTTGGGCTCCAGATTTTAATTTGGCTTAGGTTATAATTAGACCTGAAAAGGACCTTAAGAGGTCATCTGATTGAGCCCACTGCTTCCAAACAGGTGCTACAGGTTGAGTTAAGGAGGGAATCAAATGGTTGGCCTAATGGAGAAAGGTATATACTTTTGCTGGCTGGATCAGCAGAAGAAAATAATTTTTTGTTTTCTAGATTGAATCCCTTTTGAGCATAGAGAGACCCTAGGGGCAAAGCTAGACTTATTATCATCAGATTTTTATGGAGTAAAGAAAAGCAACCCTTTCAGCTCAGTGAGGTTCAGTGGCTTTAGCGTATTCTTTTCTTGGGTATACGTTCCGAATGCTGCAGTCTGCATTTATTGAACTGGGGCCTTGGGTGCTTGGGGCCTTTTACCTTTTAGGCTGCTAAGCCCATTCTACTTCAGAGCCAAGCCTCTTCTGGAATGTTTGTCTTTTACTTTTGGGGGTGGACATTTAGCTGAACTTTTCTACAACATATGTGAGAAGCCAAAAGCAAACCAAGTTCTGTGCTTCGAAAGAGGACTCTATATTAAGGAAGCCTAATAAGGCAGCAACTGGTGTGTCTGGGACAGCCCTTCAGGCTAGGCCCCTTCCAACACACTCCCAGCATGCTGTCTGGCCTCACTTGGAGTCCAAAATAACATGATACGAGTTAGAAACAGCGGCCTCCTCAGCTAGCAGCAGCTACACTCTACTTGGAGGAAAGACAGATGACCTTCTGGGCGTTGGCTGCTATTCCATTTATGGAATCAGACTCCTGATGCCATAGCCAGGTGCTCTCAGCATCTAACAACTTGTTTATTCTCTCTTTACAGTTTAGTCCTAGATACCCACAGGAATCACTGTTACCACCAGTTCTGAAATCTCCAAATTCTTTGAGCCTCTGTCACACATTTCACAGAGAAGTACTTGTCTTGTAGGAAACTCAGAGCCTCCATCTAATCTTATGGCAGGGGTGGAGGGTAGTTATGCAAGCTGACTTTCCAAATTCATGTACAAAGTTTTATTTCTGTTCTGGGAAGTTAGGTTTGCTATTAGTGAAGTTAATCAACATCTATTTACAAATATTTGATTTGGGAGGCATGAAAAAAGAGAGATGTTTCTGTCAGTTAATTATTTATTTAACTCCCCATTATCTCTAACTCCCAACAAACCATGGTCAGTTCTGCCTTTGCCTAGGGTCCCCTGGAGGTGCCTTTAGGGGCCCCCACAGTGAGGAGAGGGAATTGGAGTGCATGGGGCATTAGGCCTCCTCTGCTTCAACCAGGGTAGCTGTTTTATGTATTGGGGCTGAAAAATTAAAAGCATTGCTCTAACCCTTACATCCTGAAACTTTCTTTTTACTGTTTCGGCCTTCTCCAGAGGCATACTGGCAATCATAACGAAATTATGAGCCCCTCAAATTGGGCTGTTACCCCTGAACATCCAGCATAGCTCCTTATACACAGGAAGAGTACACTAGATGCTTGTGGCTGGATTACTTGCTTGATTAATTGCCTCAAGATGATATTAATTGATAGCCTCAGGATAATTCTAGATCAGAGAATAGAGTACAGTATGTAAGAATTTACTTTGATTTGTTATGGTTTGAGCATTTCCAACCTTTGCTACTGGAATCAATCACACAGTCTGAGGTGAAAATTTAGCCAAAAGGAATTACCCTAACTGAGGTTGTCGCTGTTGGAGAGGATACCCAAGTAAGTCAGCACAAACAAAAGTACCTTCTGTTGATTTCCAAAGATTTGTATGATTTCAGTCCACCTCTGTCCCTAGTGTACTGAGGTGAAAGGTCAGCAGAGTGATTATTGGGAAGACCAGCCACAAAAGTGTACTAAAATCATACAGTCCTGTCTGTTGTTTAGTGCTGCTTACTTTTGCTAAAAATTACCTTCTTGGACAGTTCCCAAAACTACTCACTGTCTTGATTGTGGGAAATGCAAAACTTTTCTCTGCTAAGCTATACTTATTAACAG